TTTGGTTTGATATTTTTAACTGTATTTCTGTTTTAATCTTTTAACTGTATTTTTGCTTGTCTGTGTTGGGTGTGCTGCGTTAACCATGAAATCGATTATTATCGGCCAAGAGCGTTGCAGCACACTCCTATGTTATACAACATTACCCAAGTCTTGTCCTGTATGTTACATGCTAGATTAAAATGACTTAACATGCAGGACCTCAACCTTCAGCTGTTGTGGTAATTATTTACATTACCTGTATTAGATTTCCTTTCAGGTATAAAATCCAGGGGCAATCTATTATTTGAATAATACTGCGCAATTTTTTTTCCTTTTAAATGACTGAGAAGTTGTATCTATTTTCTCTCACAACTTTTATTTTTTTTGATTCCACTCGTTATTAATACACATAAATTTATTTACATATAATACAACGGTTACATGCATAATTATTAGGCACACGTCTTCGGTACTGTTAGGCTTAATACCTTTGATCTTTATGCAAGTTAAAGTTATCGAATAGACAGGACGCTCGAGCGCCACCTAATGGCGGGCGTTATCAAATTCATAACAGCTATGTCATACTGCAAATTTTCCTTCACTACTAATTTCAGCACCATTTTCATATTCTAGAAACTAAAAAAAATTATTACAAGATGCATTGCTTAACAAGTGGCAAACTGACGCATAAAACTATCTCTTATATGCAATAAGTTTTGATGACATCATTTCACATGTAGAATGACATCTTTCTTACTTTCAGCATACACTGGTTAGTGTCATGTGTAGAATGTCAAGCAGAAAAGGAATATCGTAAACTGAGACCAGTTTCAGAGGCAAAAAGGTTACAATTTGAGGGGGAAAAGTCAATAAATATTTTGGGCCTTATAGGACGGTGAAGTGGTTAATAATAATAGCAGGTTTACCACAACATATTTTTCTCAAACCGAGATAATTTTGAGAAAATCCTAGAAACAGAAAATAGCACTGGAACCCTAAACTTAACAGGATAAGTATCTATGACTGAAAAGTTTAAATAAGGAAGTTGTAAACAATAACAAAACCACAATGAGTTAAAATAAATTCTACTCATATGAACGTACCTAATTATTAAGAATTTATTAGTATTTATCATCACTGTGAACTATTTTGTAAAAAAAATTCTTATTTTCAATAGCATCGAAAATTCACTGCGCTTTATTTCGTTGTTAATTTAAAAACTAACAGCAATAAAGCTCTTACGGTTAATTCAGTCATTCTACTTTTTTTTAGATCATATGATATTCGTTATCGAATACACTAATTCGACTGGTGCTGATGTGGCAGGCATGTGAAAAATACAGTCTATTATTTGAATAATACTGCGCAATTTTTTTCCCTTTTAAATGACTGAGAAGTTGTATCTATTTTCCCTCACAACTTTTATTTTTCTACATTTCATAATTAGTTGACCAAAAAGCTTTTGCAAATCCCTACTTTTTGAAAAAGTTGATCCATTTTTATTGCATTATTTTGGACAGTTTCATTAAAATTTTCACCTGAACTTTTAATATAAGACCATGTTTATTTACAGCTGCTTATTCAAATAAGACTAACATTGGTGCTGTAATTCACACATTTTTATTAATTTTCTCAATTTCTCACTGGATTTACATAAGTAGGACCCCAACAGTGATATAGGGCATACTTCTTCACCTCTTTTGATACAACTTGTTTAAAAATCGGACATTTCCTTCTCCAGATAGCTCTGTAACAAGCTCAAACTCAACATTTCAAAATATCCTTTGCAAACTTCTATCAGCTATCATATTTCTTGCAAACAGCATATATATTAAGATAAGTATTTAGACTGTCAGCGCATGCGTACTAAACGTCATCTGAACACCTGAAGAGACTTAGTGTATTTTTGCAATTTTCTCCTAACTCTATGCTTTAAATAAGCTTTAATGCCAGTTTCTGATACCCTTTTGATAACCATACCTGTATTTATTTTCACACTGTTTGATATTACATTCAATAGTAGTTGTAATTTTCATTCCTTTCCTGGTTCTAAAACTTTTTACACTTCCTATCTTGGAATTCGATAGTGCAAATTTGGTAACAGCTACTTGCCTGTAAAAGTTTTCCACTGCCTTAAGAGCGAGCATATGAGGAAAACAACATCGCAGTGACCTCCAGGAATGTTTTGATAGCATTTTGTCTATCCGATTTAGATTATGAATTTGTTGCGTTGTATTATTAATTACCACTCTTCGAATACTTTTGTTAGGATATTTTGCTACATTGTACCTATTACTTTACTTTTGTTATTTCTAATGTGTTTCACCATGGTTGCTTGTATTTACAACATTGAACATTGCCTATACAGGATTGACAAGTGAACTTCTGGTCCCACATATGGAGGAATACAATTGCAAATTCTAAAGAAACTAAAGAAACTTTATTCTTCCCAGTCTGCACACAACACAAACATAGACAGAACAACCGGAGAATTTTCAGCTAGTCAGGTTTGCAGCCGAGGCCTAACACAGACATGTAATCTCTTTCTAATGTGCAAAATATTTATTGACTTTTCCCCCTCAAATCGTAACCTTTTTGCCTCTGAAACTGGTCTCAGTTTACGATATTCCTTTTCTGCTTGACATTCTACACATACACTAACCAGTGTATGCTGAAAGTAAGAAAGATGTCATTCTACATGTGAAATGATGTCATCAAAACTTATTGCATATAAGAGATAGTTATAGTGCCGAGTTTGTTCAATCATCTGCCTATTTAAACAAAAACAGATTGCTGTATAAGAGGGAAGAAAAATAACGGAAGAAAAAAAAGAGAAAGGTACAGAAGGTTTATCTCGAAAACATTGCTTTATTATCAATGTTTCTTGCTTTGAAAATTTTATTTAGTTCCTTTATGGAATTCTTAATTGACCAATATTTTGAAAACAACTCTTGCTTTTGCCGCATTAGCTTGGCGAAACATTTCGAATCTTGCCAAATTCACCCTGTAGTAGAAAGCACCCCATTTCTCTGGAAATTCACGAACGAAGTCTCGACTTTCTGGGGGGATATGTACAATCAGTACCGAATTTATTTCTTTGGTGCTTTTTTCTGTTTGATGTACTACTGGAGACATTTTGCAGAATAATTTGAAATTGTGTAAAAAAATAATTATTTAGAAAAAAAAATGTAGAGAACTTCTAAAGTAGTGTCTGGACACAAAAGATGGAGCTACCAGCTTTCTCTCTCTCGTCCAGTAGGAGAACGAATTCGTCAATGACCTCGACAGATCATCTGTGGCAGCCATCAGTGCAAATAATTTATAAGGTGATCCTTATTATAAATTCTTTGTCACAGGTGAAGCATCGAACCGACCTCACTCTGGTCACGCAGTTACCGACTGGCCTATCTGCAACTAGCATCCTTAGAATTCCAGTGGATTCCCGCCGGTGATTATTCTTTGATTGTGTGTCGCGACTTATATCTGATGTTTATATTTTTATCTTTATAAACAGAGGCTATTCGAAAGTTTTTCTTTTGGATGAATTTGCTTTGCTCTAAAAAAGTCGCCTGTCTGCAAAAATGTTTTAACTGCAACTGTATTTTTAAAAGTATAAATTATCGTGCTCGCACTTAGTTATTAAAAAACGCTGTGGAAGTCGTGGTGTTTCGATATCTAAAGCTATGACAGATAGCATTGTGAATAAGAATGATAAAAAACGTCAAAGTTTGGTTTACAAGTGAAAAATTGTTCCAAATACCTCTCCAAGGAAGAAAAGGAATGTTTCGAATGTTGCAAAGATAAGATCTTGGATGCTAAAGGAAAATCCACCAAGTCAAAAGACAGCTGCAAAATCATTAAAATGCTCAGTGTCAACTGTAAACAATGTTGATCTAAATTTTAAAAAGGCAAAAAAAACATAATGTGCATAATTTTTCTCCATGATATATCACAAACGCCTAATGTGCTGCAGAATCCTTTATGAGAAACATTTATCCGGACAAAAAATGGAGAAATATTGTCACAATAAATGAATCTTGGGTATATTTAAATGACAGCAATAAAAAGAGATCCATTATAATCATCAAAGAGGAGAAAATAATTTTAAAACTTGGTTAAAAGAAGCTAAAGAAAGATTTTTCAAAGGGATTTATGATTGTTGCTGTTTTTTCATATAGCGGTAATTTAAAGAGAGTGCAGATCAATTCTGCATATTATCAAGAACATATTTTATATCCAATTTTCAAATATGAAATACGATATTTTTACCCACTGTGCCATCATCCAGTAGAACAGCAGCAAAGAAAAAGCAAGAAGCTACACGTCAAAATCCACTGTTATTTTTCAGGAAGAAATAGAACAAGAAATGGGTATTAGAGCTATACTCTTCATCACATTCCTGCTAAAACTCCTGCTGTATCATCCATGGATATTTGTGCTGTTTAATGATCGACCGGCAACTCTCCTTAGACTTTAGAAATCTGTTCAAGAGGAATGCAATAAAATACTTCTTCCGTTACTACAAAAGGCTTACCTTGGAAATTACGGTGTAGAAAATAGTGAAGAATAAGGATTACCCAATAGAACACTTAAAACACAAATACTTAAGATGAAATATCTGTGTAAATAAAAATTGTCTAAAAAATAAGTGAACGGCCTTCTGTATATGCTAAACTAAGATATTTCCTAATCTAATGAAAGTAATAAATGTAAAAATTGGCATATTATCTTTATGCTTTGCATTAAGACACATCTCTGAAGACAGAATAATGAATCTACAATCTACATTAGGATAAAACACGACAAATCTACAGATTTCTGATATTATACAAATTAATCAATTTTCTCTTATTTGTTTGTTTTGTTGAGTTTTCTCTTATTTGGATAACAAAGAATTTTCAATACAAGTTCTACAGCATTATAAATTGAAGATCAATAAATATGTTCTTATTTCACCACCTCTAAAAAATTGTATTAAAATGTAGGAAATTAAAAAAATATTGATAGAAAATAAAACATACTCTTCAAACAATTTTTTATTTAACACTTTTATAGCATGGACGGAATACCTTTATTAAGGTCTTCATAGACATTTTCTGTACATATCAGCCATTTAGATGGATATAAAAATATTTGTTCTAACATATTAGCAATATTTACATATGCAGAATCTTTCACAAAAGCTGTACAAGAATGCAGGTACAGAAAACACTACATGTATAGATTCTCTTACACTGATATGTTACATACATGCACAATGTATGATTCTTCAAAAATAAAATGACCTATATAATTCAGTACATTAAACATTGCTTGGAAAAGGCCCGCAACGCTACATTAAAAATTTTTTTTAATCTCGATACATGTTTACTTTTTCTACAAATAATAACCCTGAATTTACACAGTTGTACTTAAATCAACACTTTACAAATAAAATTTCACTACATAAGAACTAGTAGTTCATTTTGATTTGAAAAAATGTCTCTTTCCCAAGAGGTTGGGATATGTATTGCAATTATTTTACATGATAAACAAAAAATAATTAAAAAAAGCAGCATTTGGAAAATAAAATCAATGTATTTTGCAATGGAAAAATTTGCAAAACACTACACTACTAAAAATGGAGTAAATCTTTCATAAAAAAAAAAAAAAAAAAAAAAAAAAAAAAAATTAAATTTAATCAAGCTAAATAATTTTGCTTCACATTAATATATATTTTCAAATCTATAAACGTCTTAAAACTGATCATATTTCTCTTTTTTTTAATTCACACTTATAAAAAATCTAATTTTTAAAGTTATGTAACAGTTAAAACAACGTGGATTAGGCTGTGAGAAAACTGATAAGAGATATTAGTTTTCATCTATCACCATGTCAAGAGTAAATTTAATCATAATATTTTTGAAATTTTCATAACTTTTGAAAGCTAATAGAAAACCAAAATATCTGAAAAATATATATCTTCAGTAGGTAAACTTGATGATGACAGAATATTTTAATTATATACACTAAATTTATCACCATATTGCACTATTCCACTACATATCAATATTAATGTTACAAACATCTTATTCCTAGGTAGTAACTAGGATAGCGTTTGATAACAAAGATTATCATTTTCACTTCAGCTCTATAAGCCCAGAGTTGAATGAAATATACATATAAAATATAACAGAAAGATCTCCTTTTTGTAATGTAAATGCTGCTTTGGCTGCTATTATGCACCTCAATAGCTTTCATTTCTGAAAGGTGAGAGATGTCAGTATTATATTTGCTATTGGTCTCGTTTCGCTGTTACTCGTGGATGAAGCTGTAAGGGAGAAAAAAAATATTTATAAATACTTTTTATCAAAAATGTATTAGAAAGATATATTTTTTTTCATTGTTATATAAAAAACTAATCTTATTAAAAAATGATTAATTAGAAATTATAAAACGTAAATGGAAGGAAAAATCAATATGAAAACTAATATAACTGAAATGGTTATTTTATTATTCAAAACTAAATTATAACTTGAAAATATTTATGAAATACAATCAACCCCCTATACGCACAGTTTGAAAGGCAAGGAGAAGGGAGAGTGCCAGAAGTTTTGTGCAAGTGAAACGACCACAGTCCATAATATAGTCAAAGTATAGCAGTTCAGATATGCCGAATATCATCTTCCCATACATATGCGTGACGATTATGACGAATGTAACTAATTACAGAGAATGAAAATGTTTATTGCAGAACTTTTTATACAAAGGGTGTTCCAACAAAAAATTTAGATTTTAAATAAAACACACTTTTTATCGAGAAAATACACCAAAATGTTTATGTAATCTTAAAGCAGATATGTGTGAATTATGTATGGAGCAGCACATCTGATAAATGACCTTCTCGAGATGCTGGCACATTGTGTTCTTTTGATGAAATTTCTAATCAAAAGAACACAATGACTTGCCGTAACTGTGAATGGATTTCAGCAATACTGCATCTAATCTTCTCCTTCAAAGCTTGGGACTTGTTGACATAAACGTTTGATTTCAAAAACCCCAGAAAAAGAAGTCCAAAAGGATCAAATTTAATGATCTATGCAGTCAAGTCCCAAGTGAGATATTACATGTCCCAGCAAATATCTCATACAATAATACTATTGTTCAATGCAATGAGTGGTAGGTAAGTGGCACCATTCTGTTGGAAACACACGCTTTTGAGATCCATACCATCATTTTGAACCATAAAAAACTGCGTTATCATGCCCTGATCATACTGTTTGCCAGTATAAGGGTATGCCAAGTATCAGAACTATTTCTGCATTTCCAGCAAAGACTTTTAATGGAAAAATGGTTCAGTGATACCTCCAGTTCAAATTCCACACCAAACAAAAAATGTTAGTACTCTTTCAGATAATATCTAAACACGGTTACTGTTTCATAGTCAAATAATGATACAAAGCTGACAATATGTTATGCACTTTCCAACATGAAATAAATGCTTCAAGCAATTTTCTAAAATTGGAAGAAAAAAAAAAAAAAAAAAAAAAGAAATTTGCAAATATTAAGTAAGAGTCTGCAAACATACTTTTAAAATTTCTACCACCCTACAGTACTTTATCAAGTAAATGCCATTCAGTAATGATGGAGTATGCAATTTATCATTTTTAATTAGCTACTTAATTTGATGCTACTGAAGTTGCTTGCTAATTTAATCATTTCCTTTTTCCTGCCACTTTACTGCACATTCAAATATGAAAGCAACAGAATTTTGTATGTTATTTTAAGAAGCTATTATTATATAATAAAGCTCAGACATTTGGATTATCATATCATAAATGCTTCCACATTATCTTGCAGCAGCATGGTAGAGATCTGTTAATAAAAATTATGACTATATTTTTAATATAAGAATATATAGTATTTGAAGTTCTGGGAAGCAGCTCTCTCTCTAATCTATTGCAAGTTGCAAAAGTCAGGTGTAATAATAAGCAGCAATATAATGGTCCATCAAAAACATCTAAATTTTTCTTTATGTTTCTTCACTGGTAAAATGCTGCCTTAATGCTTACTGTGAGAAAAGAAGAACATTCAGCTGGATATGCATGCTTTTCTTGGGATAGTGGTTGAAAATCTTGAACTGAAATTAGTGATTTGAAGATGCTTTATATCATAGTAAAACTTGTCAGCAGTTTTGGAAATGCTCTTTTTGATGATTTCAGTATTTAAATTGGTATAAAATGTACTTTATAAACCAAGCAGAACTGGCTATTTCCCTATGGGTTTTACTTTGCAGAATTTGAATTTTATAGAACACAGAAATAATAAACTTAGAAATATTAGATACTACTATTACAAACAAGAAATTTTCGATTTAAAAAATTTACTATTTATAAAAAGTAGTTAAGACATTGAAGGGACAGGGATGAGCTAGAAAAGATAACTAGTCTATCATAAGTGTCTCATGTTAAATAAATGGATAATAAGCATGTTACAATAAATGGATTATTTTAAACAGTGTAGATATTGTACAACATCACTGCTTTGAGGAAGAAAATTGGTGTGAAATTCTCCTTTCCTACATCCATAAAATATAATAAGTGATCTTCTTCATTTATTGGTACTTAGTCTCTCGCTTTAAATGGAAAATTCTAACCAGTTTTATATCTTTGTCTTAACCAAACATTATTTTAATTTCATTCAAATTTGTAGTATACTGAAAAATTGTTTTTTTATTTTATATTTTCAGATAAAAAAGTAATACGGAAAACACCAAGTTTTAATGGTAACAGAATAATTCGTGACTCTCGTATTATTCAGTTAATAAGTATCATTCCAAATATTTTTATACTTACACCAAGTAGATTTCTTGGAACGTAACCTTCTCGATCATTAAGCTTACTCCACCACCACTCTCTCTCCAAATCATCTCCTTTCCTAAGGACAACAAGCTGGTCACCATCTCGAAAAGATAGCTCATCAGAATTCTGGCTGTCATAGTCATAAAGGGCATATACAACTCCACTATTTAATATACCCAGTTTTTCTTGCATACCTAAATGACAAGAAATAAGAACATATAATAGTGAAAAGTACCTATACAGAAAGTTCTTATATATAGAATTATGAAATACATTGTTCGAATTACAGAAACACAGAAATTGTTAGAGAAAGAGAAACACATAAATCCTCTACAGCCCAATACTGTTGGTCAGAAAATTCCAATTTCCATTTTTTTTTCATCCAATATTACATAAAATAAATAACGAATTAGATTTCCTACAGGCGTTTTACATTTCTAAAAATCTTCCAGTTCTAGTTAACTATCCTAATCCCAATTCGTCTTCACCCTAAGCTTTTACGGAAATGATTTATATTTGTTTTAATTTTTAGTACCAAATGGTAGCAGCAGCTTGACTTCCTTCTTCTCACTGTTATCGTCTGAGCACAGGCTTCTCTTCCATCATTTGCACTTCTGCAACTAAAGAAGTATATTCTATGTTTAAACCTTCGGAAATAGTCCTGGAAATTTATGAATATTATGCTGATTCTTGTTGCATTATCATCTCCAATAATCGCTGATCAATGCGCAACTTTAACTCAGATATTAGATATGGATTTTCATAATACAAACAGTTACTACAAAAGATATAATATTTTTTGACTGTTAAAAATCATAAAAATTTTCACTAATAACGAAACTTTAGCAATTATAAAAACGTAAATTCCCATAATAGTCACTTCACCATTCGTGTCAGCCCTGTTCATGTTGTTAAAAGTATGATCATTTTGTAACATTTATTTCTTAAATGCTTAAAAAAAAAAAAAAAAAAGATAAAAAAAAAATGAATCTATTAAGCAATAAAATATATTACTATATAAAAGTAAATCTCGATTAATTTTTCTAATATGTAAACTTTACCTAGAAAGTACTAGCTTTAAATAAAATTCAGTTTTTCATGGTACTAAGCCTTTCATGTTGAGCAAATAAAAAAGCAATGTGATGCAGAATCTCTGATAAATGTAAGATTAATATAATTATCTCTTTTCAATGATATAATTCAGTAACATTTAAAATTGTTAAAAACTTACTGTACAAATATTCTGAACATCCATCAAAACCTTCTTCATCTTCTTCACATTTTTCAGCCGCTGTTTCATGATCACTGAGTGTTGTGGCAAATATGCAAGCTCCTCTTTCAACTAAATACTTGACCATGGCTAAATTATTGCAAGATGCAGCACAGTGAAGAGGTGTCCTGATAATTAGAAGAAACTTTCAATGACACATCTATGACCATCTTAATGCACATATTTCTACATAAACTGCACAAAAAATACTCATACAACAAGTGGTTACACATTTATTGGATACTGTCAAATGAACTCTCATATGAAGTCTGTATTTTGAATAGATTACACATTCTTTTGATGCAGAGGAGTTATTTAAATTTAATACATTACTATTAAATTGAACATAAAATTAAATTTAATACACAACTATAGCAATGAAATATATGGTTCGTAATGGATAAAATTCTTATATATATTTCTATAGACTTTACATATTCTTTTACGATATTAACAACATGCTTGCATGGGTTTTCAGCTTAACAATTTACAAATGATTTGAAAAAACAAAGAAAGCTCACTTTAATCTCTCCTATTCACATACCTTATGTAAGCAAATAACTGAAAATCAACAATTTCAATAATTTTATTAAGCTTAAAACAAAATAAAGTTACCTTATCCATTTTTTCATGTGAGAGAAAATGTTATACAAGCAAAAATTAATTAATTAATGAATTAAATAAAAATAAATAAATAGTTTCATATCAGCAAGTACTTAACAATTTATATTTTGAAGAACAGAATTAATAGAATTACTTAATACAATTAACATACTGCTAGAGGCCTAGAATGATAATTAGTGAATTTTTCATTTTTAGATAAATGAATTTTTAAATATTACAAAAGAAGATATAAGAATAAACCCATTCATGAACTATGTCTTGTGATTTTGAATTGTATCTCGTTTCTAAATATGCTTTGTTCTTTTTTACCTATCTAAAAATTATTGTTATGATTTTTAAAAATGGTACATTAAAACACCAAATAATAATAATAATAATAATAGCATCAGCAATAAACATAGCATTTTGTGTCTATATACAGTTTTAAGAGTTGCTTATACTCCTAATGCAAATAAAGATAAATAAATAAATGCAAAAACTTTTGAAATTATAAGAAAGAAAAACAACGCATAAATTATTTACATTCCTGCCCATGAATCAGCAACTTACCAGCCATCGCTATCTTGAGCATTTACATCACAGCCAAATTCAACAAGGAATTTAACTATTTCCAAATGTCCAGCACAGATAGCATTATGAAGAGCAGTAATTCCTTCGTCATTAGCAGCACTCGGATTAGTTACCTGAAATAATTTTAAAAATATATAATTCATATTAAAGAATGGTGAATCGTAAACTGTTTTTAAATCATTAGTTTACTTCAATACTAAAATACTTTTCCAATTAACAAATTAGCATTGATTTATTTACGATCACACAATTTATATTTGAAATCTCGGTCTCGGCTCATTCTTTTCACATATCAGTAATTGTATTTTTTAACACATATGTTACAAACAATGATTTTAGAGCAAGGTTTTTATGATTTTTGAGCAGAAAGTTTTCTGATTGATTTAGCTTCTGTAACGTGAATTCCGTTTTTGTACGCTCAACTATCGAGCTTTTACTGTATTTTGGGTCGTATATATAATAAAATGAAATTATTAGCAAAAGTTTCAAACATGGTTACTTTTCGACAAACTTCAGTGAAAATTAGGCACTTGCCACACCTGTTAACGAGTTTTCCGATCGACTCTTCCACGAACGTTACTGCCCGTGATACGAAATGGGCAGGACTTTTTCTTTTTTCGGAGGGGAAGGGGAAGGCGGGTGAAGGCTCCTCAGTCTGGAATCCTTATTCCTTAATTCAGGGAAGAAATGAAAATCCCTCAGTGATAAGTCGGGGCAATACGCTGGATGGCAATTTGGAGCATTCGACGTTGATCATTCGACGTGTAGCCTCGACTTAAGCCCCAGTGATTTTCTCTCTTCCCTGAATTGAAGAACTATCTACAAGGTTAAAGGGCAATGAGGACATTCAAAACAACGTCCAGGTCCATCTCATATCGCGGCAATTTTCTTCGAAGATGAGTTCAGAAAGCTCGTCCACCGGTATGACAAATGCCTGGACTTTCACGGAGATTTTGTCAAAAAATAAGCAAGTTAACCATGACAAAGTTTTTTATTCCTTTTTTTAAGGTCCATCGGAAGTTGTAACAAAACAAGCACCGCGTAATACTGATAAATCAAATATGAGCGCATAACACAAAATTATATTATGTAACAAACAAAACTAAAATAATAGAAGAAACAAGGTTTTAGGATTACCCTAAAAATACATGAAAGTATTTTCATATGAAAAGGGAATATGAGTTTCTTTAACTTGCACACACATCCACTTCTTCAGCAAATACAGTCTTTTAAGATAATGAAAGCCTTAAAAGATCAAGTTTGCTAGGCAACAGCTTTTTCAAGTATATCTCATTAAAATAGTAGATTCTCTGTAGAATGTAAACCTCATTTCCCTATCTAATTTATTTTCTCAGTGTTTGCGGATTTAAGAAATTTATCAAGTGTTCATTTCTTATCTGTGATTTTAAGTGTATTGATCAGTTAGAAATTACATTATTGGTAACTTTTTTTAAATAAAAAATCAACAATTTTATGCTTTTTCATAAAATTTAAACTATGCTTAAGGAATTAATCACTGAAAATATATTTATAGTTTATCTCTCCCCCTCAAAAAATGTATTCATAAAAATTGTCAAAAGTATTTGCTATGGATTATCGCCTCCTCAAAAAGAAACGCTTTTCAAAATGCCCTTTTCCCTAATTAATTCAAATAAACAGGCTTACACTGCAGTTAAGACATACAGAGAATCTAAAGAAAATAAAATTTCACTAAAGTTCATAAACGGAATACTTATGACTTTATTAAATACGAGCACAATTTTGAACACCAAATATTGGTAACTTTCAAAATTATATAAAATAACTCTAACCTCTTTTGCTGTTTTCTTAACAAGCTCTAATTCTCCTTCCAAAGCAGCATCTAACAGCAGAGCTAGAGGATCAAAACTAACTCTTCGAGGATTTTTTGCAGCACCTTTAGTTTTAAGATTGCCTTTTTTGACCCTTCGCAAAGCTGCTCCAACAGGTGGCCTATCTGAAAACTGTTCAATATCAGAAGCACTCCTGTCAGTGGAATCTGGCGACAGAGATGATGAATGGAGAGAATTGCTCACAGATGGTGGAGTATGGTCAGATGGCAGATCTGGAGATGGAGGTTTTGTTTCTTGGTCTTCTGCGGAAGAAATAAAATTATTAATACATAAAATTAGCAAAGCAACAATCTTGTGATTTTAGTCAAGCCTCTATCGATTTCGAGGGCAAACAGGTACATGTCCCTCTTCATAACGAACAGAGATATCTGCAACGAAGGGAAAGGCATGGTTGTATTTATACCCAAAAGGAGTAAAGCGAACTAGAAGGTAGCGCCATCTGTCGTCAGAAATAGTAACGAAAATTGAAAAACTAAGTTAATAGAATTTTAAAAGCGTTAGGAATGACTGGATTGGAATTAAAAAAATTAATTAAACAAGATAAATCTTTGGGAATGTAAAAAGCTTCAAGGACATTTAATTCACCAATGGAAGAAGCTTTTCGGGAATTTTTACAGACTTAAAAGTCAAAATCGTGATTAAATTTCGAAATATTATTAACTATCGAAAACTTGCTAATTTCGCCTTTTCAGACATAAGATTTGTATTCCATGATACGCAACTTTAATGTTCTTTTAGTTCGGCAGATATATCTCAAACTACACTGACAAGATATGTTATAAATGCCCCAAGAACGAAAGTGAGAAATGGAATCTTTAATAATCGAACTATGGAGTTTATTGGAAGACGAGAAAATGACTTGAAAAATGAACTTCTGGAGAATCCGTGCAATTTTGCAACTTTAGCATATTAATAATGCAAATTAACTTAAATGAATTAATTACTTAAATTATTTAAAAGAATAATTAGAATTATATGGCAAAATGTGGGCCTGCTAGGGAAAACACTGAAAAGACTTGCTTACTGTTAATGAACAGGACAAGAAGAAATGGGCATGTCCTCAGAATTTCAGCAATGGCTGTATAGGTTTAATTCTACTACATTAATTACATAACTCTACCTCAGTTTTTATGGAGAACATCTCGGGGGACAGATCTAGGGCATGCCACCGTACACATAATATCTTGAGAGGACTTTCAGCTAACCTGCATTTTAAATGTCGCATGCCGCCACAGATAGGTAGACGTTGAACCGAGGCTAGCACCCGTACATTCCCAAAGGTATATGTTATATATCATCCGGCCTTGTGAGCCGTTAAGCTTTCACCACTATTTTGGGACACAACACACCGAGGCACGGTCAGAGATTCTCCCAACCTCTTTCCGTACCATCAACTTCTCGAGAGGAGTTTCAGCTCACCGTGCATTTTGAATATGGTCTTGCTGCACAGGCACTATATGCTTCCAAGCCATGCCTTCTCTGGGATTTGAACTCGGGCCCTACCACAGAGCAGTCAGCGTCACCAACCACCGAAGTACTAAGCCACTGATTTGCAACCTTGAGAGAACTTTTGGCTCGCCGTACGCTTTGAGTGCCCCTTTGACGCACATATATCATATAAATTAAAAATCCCAACAAATATATATATATATGCATATTACAAACATTGATACCTTAAGTGGGATTCGCTGGCCTTCATCGCTAAGGCACTCAGCGTCACTAACCATTATCCTGGCTGGGCGGCATGCTGGACAGACACTCTAACAACATTAAGTATTACAAATATTCATGCTTTCTTCGAGATTCGAACTCGGGTCCTTAATAAGGAATTCAGCACGGTCAACCACTATAGTTGCTAACAAACAAGAAAGAATAGGAAGAAGTAGGAGGAACCAGGACTAGATTAACCATTGAGCAAAATAAGTACGTGCTTAAGGCATCAAGGAAAAGAGGTTCCACAAAAATACTCTTCGCCAATCTTATTAAACAAGAGAGAAGGACTGGAAGAAAAAAATTGGCGTAAATGATACAGGGGGCACAAAAATCTCTGAAGTGCTTACAGCCTCTAAAAGTCATAATCTGGACCAGGGCGGAATACTAGAATTTCACCATTGTCGCACAGGTATAGACCACCCACCGTACTGACACTATAGCACTACAAATATCATTAACAGTATATAACTAGTGGTAGATACTTTTTTAAATAAAATTATGTTAATTAATGCTGCTATTAGTGTCAGCAACAGACTTTTTGTGGCACAGCTTAGCTTTCATTAAAAGCTTTTAAATATTTTTAACTTTTTAATTTCTAATCATCAGAACAAGACTTACTGGTTTTTTCTATTCCGCAGTTCGAAGATGAACTTTTTGGTGAATGTGTCTCACTTTCTGAACTCTGAGTCTCCAGATTATTCAAGAGCTGTGAATCCTCCTGAGAGAATGGACGACGCTTAGCATGAGCAGAAATATCACTCGAACTTAAATCCGATGGAGGAGTTTGATTTTCTGGAAAGTAAAACGCTGGAGGCATACCAATACGTCGATTGAGTGATATATGAACATTATTGCTCTCAACTCCATGTGTAGAGATATTACCATTCACTGGAAGACGATTTTGAGGTGAACTCCGGGCATTACTTTCTGAATTTTGACTCCTGCCAGGATCGGAGGCTGAGTCAACAGATTTTATTAGTTGATGCTGACCATATACAGAAGGAGCTAAACGCTGATGAATACTTGATGATGAAGGAACTTGTGTTGGCAGCCTAAAAAATTCATACAGTTTTAAGAATTAGTAAAGATGTTTATATGATAGCTAAGATACATTCACAACCATAAAATATTAATAACATGATACATAAGACAATGTCTCAAATTCAAATTGCCCGCAGCCTTATGCACGAACTTGAAACGAACTAGAATTTTTTAAAACAAAATTAAAATTTTTTTAATAAAAAATATAAATATTTTAAATAATTTCTAATTTCGCTTACAAAGTATTTTTCAAACTATTATTAAATAATAATAAAATAATATCGCTAAGGGAAAAAATTCAAACTTATATTTTTATCTTACTTGAAATCTGAAGTTTGGCACTCAGAAGACATTTTTGTTTAGTTACTCTTTGTATTAAAAATATATAGACAGCTAAATACAAAATTTTCAGATTAGCGTTTATTTTAAATAATTCTAACATGTTAAATTAACACGTTACTTTAATTTAAACTGAAATCAATTAAGAATGTTAATTTACCACAGCAATTTTTTCAAGTGGGAAAAACGAGAGACTAAATAACGACAACTTAAGTCTCTTTCTCTAATTTATTAAAATATCTTTCCACGCATAAAAAAATACATATGTTTTCATGCAAATTTCGTTTATATCTTATTACAACTTCTTGACAGTTGATGGCGTTTCGATTTAGAGAAAGTTTGTAGTTTGTTGGAGATAAATTGCTAGAAATTATCTTCATCACGGAATGAAGATGCATCAGTCAATTGGGTACTTTCTCTATTAATTTTCGACTGTAAAAAATGCCTGTTCACATATAAATGCATTTCCGAACAAAGCGATTGTTCTTACTTATTTTTTCACGAGTAAAAAGTTAATCAAAATCTGCATCTTCAAATTTTAAATAAGTTGTATATCACAATCAAAATTAGCTCTATTTTCATAGATTTCCTGATGCGTTATTCACATTAGTTTTAAATGGTTGTAAGATTTATCCTAAGTTTTTAACAGATAATTTTTAGTTAAAGCCACTTCCTATCTTTCTTAATTTCAGCTTGCAATTTTATGCCAGAACGTGTTTTCAGAATCGTTGTTAAATGCAAATGAAGGAAGAGCAAGTATTTAAAGTGGAAATTCTACTGAGTTCGTTAGAGAGCCAGAGATTCTGACCAGCGCGCCTTCGCCTTTGAGGCTACACTCTCGCTAATCGCTAAGCTATTTCTACGCTCGGCCGTAATTCAGGCCCTTGATAGCTTCGCCGTTTAGTTAGTGTTAAAGGGCCAACTCCTGTAGAATTTTGATAGTTTCGGCTATATCTCTTTAATTACGTTTTATTTCTTAGTATTCTTGAGTTCAAGCCCAAGTAGAGGCTTTGCTATACGCCCTGAGAGAGGACCGTATGTTGACTTTATTTTGAGCAATAAAGGGTAATTAACCCTTCTTGAGTATCTGTTCTTTGCCTGCTGAACTAAAGCGATTATTCGCTTACCAGTTCTCAAGAACCCACACATTTAGCTGTAAATTCTAGGTTGAAACATTAAATGGTAATGAAAATAATGTACGCTCGGAGTTAAGTAATTAAAATCTTGAAATCTCACTGTATTTGCAACTAATTCATGATTGAAATGTCTTCGCAGGCCGCATATAGCCCACGGGCTACCAGTTTGAGACCAGTGACATAAGCAATGGTAACAATTAAGGAAAATAGGAATAGAAATTATGCAGTACTATAAACCAATATAAGCATTCCAAAAACAATGAAATTTTTTATTAAAAGGGACACAGACTTTACGCAAATTCAAGTTTTTCAAAATAACATACTGACAAAGATTATTTTCCCTCTCTGGTTTGTATGAAATGAGCTACTGCATGAAGACTTTAAAAAATAGACTATATAAAGGATTACATTCATAACATCAACAAAAGCTTCAATGATAAAGTCATTAATAATAATAACGTCAATCATTTTGAATATGAAATCATAGATACAGTATTTCCTCGAGCAATTTTCTTCTCTTTTTACTAATTTTATCGACCCAAAATCGAGAGGGAAATATTATAAATAAATAATTTTTGAAGAACGCGGTTAAAGCATTTAAAAGAAATTTACATTCCAATAAGGATATCTAGAAGTATTAACGTTACAGTATCAAATAAGGTTTTTTTTTCATTTCTATTTCTCTGAAATTTGATTCCCGCACGTTCCTATTATTGTCTCGGCTATTCCTTAGGCCTTAAATCATTCATAAGTAATTAACGAAGGTTAATGTGAAGATGACTAGGGGAAATCATAGACTGAATGTCAGTTCGTATTTGCATCGCTGTGATAGGTCGGTTATTTAGGCTATTTTAGGCTGCCAATAAGTTCAATAGTTAGCAAGGAAATGTTCGGCGTAGCCTTGGCAGGTACTCTGCGAGAGTTTGCCTTTGTAAGTAACACGAAAACAATCACTACGTGGACGAACCCATTTTTTTTAAAAATTCACTGAACGCAATGAGAAATGGGGAAATTATGCAAATAGTTTTAAAATTTTTAGAGCCTGGCGCTAAAAAGGTAAGGAGAATATACGTGAAAGGAGATAACAAAGAAGGAAATACGACATTGATATCGCATTCAGATCTTACTCTACCCAACTCCTAGGTAACCAGTTACTATGTACATAATTTATCAGGTATTTTCCCTCTCCTTTACGCATGCCTTCGTAGTGTAATTGGAAGCACACTCGACGCGTATTCCAGAGGTCCGTGGTTCGAATCTCGGCGAAGGAACTGCATATTTTCACGCCTCCTGCTTCTATAAAAAATATGATTTTACAAGTGGCGCCCGAGCTAAAAGGCGGATAATTAGTCACCACCAGGATTTGGCGACTGGTTCCTCTAATCCCCAGTCGCCCTTTAAAAGGTGTATAAGATATTTTCTACCTCCTCCACCCTTCCGCATGACTTCGTAGTGTAATTAGAAGCATATCCATAACGTATTCGAGAGATCCAGGGTTCGGGTCCCCGCGAAAGAATTGTATATTTTTCATGTCTCCTGCTTTAATCTTATTAAACGATTTTTAACAAGTAATTATTCACTGTACTTGCATTTGTACTCTTGTTCACTCTTTTTATTACAAGTTTGTTCACCGAGGAAAAGGCTTCAGAATCTCTTTTGTATCTCCTCACTGGAAAATAGTGTTCTACACTCTATAGAATGCGTAGGTATTATATACAATGCCTAGGGAAAGTATAAGTCTCATACTTCTTATTTGTCTAAAAGCGCCAGACATTCTATATAGAACGTCGGCGTGTCATACATTGTTGGTAACACATACAACACCAAGATAACAAACAACACGAACATAAATATATTTCTTACATCAAGATAAACACAACATTAATTCCAAATAACATAATTAAAACATACCGCTGGTTCTCAGAGCCGCGAATGTCGCCTTTTAAAACTGATATTGCATGATCAACAGTATCTGGTTTTAGAGGACTGTTTAATGCCCCATGAATTTGTCGGGGCGGAGGTACAGGTTTACCAGGAGTCAAAGGCTTAGGCGGAACCACGGGTTTCAGCATTGCCAACGAGCTTTCGTTTGTCCTTCCGCGAGCATGACTGTAACTGGGAGCAGGATGTTGCCTTGCTGGTGTCTGGGGTACAGTTCGAGGCACACTGGATTGACCAGAAGTCATGACTGTAGGTGGCAGCACAACTTGATGGTTCGAAACACTTACAGGTGTTTTAGAACGCACAGTACTGGGAGGTCCGATTGAGTTAGGTTTTGGTTGAGACGTTACAACCTGAAAGAGAAAATAACATGTTAAGCAGGGCTTCATTTCGAACATTAGAAGTGCCGGAACCTTATGGAAGGCCGCCATCGAAGAAGAACAAATATATATATATATATATCATAATGTCTCGTGTACTTTACTATCATAAACTGAGCTAAACGTTAGACGATTGTTTAAAGAATTATCCCTACGGTACCACAAAGTCAGGGAAGGATGTAAAAAGCTAATACATTTGACTTAACTGGAAAAAGTAATAGCTAACTTAAAATTAAATGAAGTTAGATTTAGCCTAAGGGCTCTACAAATTACTCATCGAGCAAGTAGGCTCTGACTCGCAAAAGTCGAGGGAAACAAACTTAATGACAAGAACGGTTCAAAGCCACAGAAGTCTAATCGCTAGGAAATCAAAGATAGCATCGTGGCCTCCAGACAGGCAGAACACGCACGAAATTCACCTTTCAAAACCTTCCTTTTGATACTAACTTCTTCCTACTTCATACACGCGCGGTAGATGACTTACATTCTGGAAAGAACGTGTGAGTTGAAAGCAAGAGCAACAGAAAAGCTACTTCAACATAAAATAAAAATAAATAAAGCCCCTGCCCATCTAACAATATAATTAATAATTAAAGTTCAATAAAATGTAAACAGACAAATAAGAATTTAATGAATTATTAAATTGATGACAAATAGTAAATAACAAAATAAAATATCGGACCTCCTCATATTAGGGCTGGAATTATAGTTTTTCTCAAAAATTAAAAAATAACTCAAATGGAAAATAAAACGGTTCAAGAGTAACTAATCAGAATAAAGAGAATGAATGCTACGAACAGTAGAAGAACACAAAAGGAAATTTTAATGGAGATGTGTACGTATGAAAACAAACAAGGAAAAAAAAATCACACTTTATGATCATGATATCCCAGCCGATAAAATTATAACTCTGAAGCAGATGAGATGACAAGGAAATAAATTTCCCCCGAATCTGAGGTTTCATCTACAAACTGAGAACAAACGTAATGTTCTGTGTTAATGACAATTTTCGTCCTCCATATTTGATTACATCACTCAAAGTCTGCAGGATTTGTTTTCCAAGGCAAGTCACTAGCGTTAGACGTATATGACCTTTAGCCGTCACTACTAAAGCTTTCGAGGTACCGCTCTCATAAATTCATCGCATTTCCTGAAGAATAAGCCTTTGACGTGTGTTTTGGGGGCTTTTCTTTCCTTAGAGTCTCAAACCTCTGTAACACGTTTTGTTGCTGCCAGGAAAAGAAAGGCATGCATTCAGAAATTAGAATCGATTTTTAAAAACTGACTTATTAAAATATAATTTTCGAAATTAAAATAATTTTATGCTAAAATTATGATTCACTTATATAAAAAAGATGCAAGCGCCCTCCACTTTTTCTAATATGCGCTTAAGCTAGAATTACGTTTATTCCCAAAATTTGAATGTACTGCAGTGGATTCCGGTGGCCTCCACTGCAATTTAAGCACTGAAAGTTGATTACAGTAAACGTCACCTAACATTATCATTCGGATATTGTTATCGATTTGCTGAAGTCCCGACCGTTTGTATACGAAAACATGGAAAGTTATTGTGATCAACAATTCGGTCACTATGATCATACTATTTAAAATAATTTTTTTATAGTAAATTCGCCAAATATGGTCAAACAGATTGAAAAAATCACCAAGAGACAGAGAAATATCGTCACACAAAAACAACCTTAGTTTGACGTAGATTGAATAACTCTGTCGATTTTGAGGGCAACCAGACTCGAGTTTTTCTTCTTCAGGAGAGAGAGAGAAAAAAAAAAAAAAAAAAAAAAAAAAAAAAAAGAGTCTGTAGAATTCCCCCCCCCCAATAAAAAATAAATCCCATGATTGTCATAAAATAATATAATAATAACCATGAAAAAACCATTCTGTAGAAATCCCCCCAAAACATCTACGACAAATTAACCCTTTGCGGCCCAGTGTGTCCGGTCTGGAGACACCTAAAAATTTCCTTCTGTACGCACAGAAAAATAGAATGAAAAAGGATTTATAGATTACTATAGGTTACTCTGAACCTTCTTTATTTATAGTAGATGGCAGCTCAACACAAACCAGTCCATATATTTTAACCATGCTTAGTTTTTTAAGACCCTCCTTTTTCAAAGAAATCTTCCAGATATATTTTAGGGTATAAAAGGAAGTGTTTGAAAAGAAATTTCTATGTTATTTTTTTGGCTGTATGTTAATCTCCTTATTCTATATTAGTTTTAAAATTTTAACCTTGAAATCTTGCTTAAATCAAACGGCGAACCCTAGGTGTGCCCAGACCGAGCTCACCGATCATCTAGGACAACTGAGAGTCCGTATTCTTTGTTTCTCCGCATCTCATTGGTCAGTTCATTGACAACAATGCTCGTTTCAGCACTCTTTTCGAAGCTCTATTCAATCAGTGTGCCCACTTTGGGCACACGCACAAAATTAAAACGATAAGTGCTATCTTCACAAAATTTAACTTGTGTACTCCTCTAGGCTTAAATAGACTGCATACTTTTTTTTAAAATCAAAACTCCAACTTTAAAAAGGTAGAGTGCCGGAAAGGTTTAAAGTTGCTTTTTGGCTTAATTTAAACTTTTACATTGGTATGCTTTCTGAATATTAAGATTTAAAGGTACAGCATCGGTCAAATAATTTCCAGAAATGTTACGAACAGTTTAGACTTTTACATCAAAGACATTATGAACTGTACATAAACAAACTTTGGCTTTTTCCTAATTAATATGCTATCAAAGTACCTATTTATATGTTTCTAAACTAAACTCAGTGGCGCAACAACCCTAGTGTGCCAAGGCCTGCAGTGCCCCGAAATCTGCTTTCTTGACCGTGGGCCCCGGGGTGCGTGAGCACTTGAACAAGTGGTCAGCTTGTGGCAGGACCTTGTAGCCTCCAATTTATCATCCAGGGGTGCTCTAGATCATGGTGGATGTGGTGCTAACCATGGTAGACGGACAGTGCCCACGTTCCCCGTCACTTGTAGCAGGACCCCCAGTGTTTAGTCCCCAAGCGAACTTGGTACTCATTTTATCGACCCACTTAAGGGATAAATGGCTGAATCAGCCTTGCCCAGCACGGGGATCGAGCCCCGGACCTGTTGTGCTGCTGTGCGATGAGCAAGCCACTGCGCCACCGGCACTCTGTATGTTTCTAGTAATATTTATATTGAATTAGTTAAATTCCGTTGCTGTTTTGAAGTATATTTCTTCTCATAATTTAATGTTATCAATCGGTTAACGGTAATAAAATAGCGATGCACAAACGCGATCACATTAATCAACGCTAACTGTATTTAAACAATTTATTTATTCAAATAACTGCACCAACAAAATATTTATACTTACACTATTAACAGAAGAAATTCCATTAGATGTTGTAGTTACTGATCTCGGCTGAGATGTTCTGCTTGCAGTTGTTGAATTTTGCGAATTTGAACCAAACGGCCGAGGAGAGAGTGCACCTAAACCACGTGGTGGAGGAGGTTTAATAGGAGGCGAATGAACACTAGGAGGTTCCGGATATGGTGGTGGACCGCCATTTTGAAGCAAATGCTTCTCCTCCCCTCGTTCATTCCCATTCATCAGAGGAGGCTTTGGACCTCCTTCTTGATTTCCTCCGACCGGGAACTTAGTGTTATAAGGAAGAGTCTGATACTTAGGATCTTTTTTATTTGGTGTAAATTCTGAATCACTTGGTACTTTCAAATCATCTCTTACGATTTCAACGTCTTGCGCAGTTCGTTTCAGAGGTTCGACAGTGGCAATATTGGTGCGTGGCCTACTTCGGTTGGCAGCATGCAACTGACTGCTTAACTGCTGATTTAGTAAACGTTTTCGCTGCAGTCTTTGTTGAAGATCCGCAATGCGTTGGTCCATCTGTGATATTTCAGACTGTCGCCTGGCTAACGTTTCCCTTTGCTGGGCAATGCGTGCATTCTGCTGCTCATTTAGCTTGGATCGATACTGAAATAAGAGAATTAATAATTAAAATTCCTTAAACTTTTTATTGTTATTGCACATATTTAAATTAAAACTATAAAGAATTATATGCATTACATTATTCAGATAGATGCAAAATTAAAAACAGCGTAATGGTACCTCGGTATACATTCGCTTTGAAATACGTTCAACTCGGTATACATCCTATTTGGACGGTGAAAATGTTGTGTGGGGGCGGACATTTGTTCAGAATATGGCTCTCGAGTTCGATGAGTCACGAAAGCGGGCACTAAACTTGCTTACCTCTTCCGAGATTATGCTATGACTGCCCATGAGTGTTAGTACACTTGTTGCTACTGTGCAGTAAATAACCCGCATTATAACTCTGAATTTTCATGCGATTTTGCATCTTATACAGCAAATTTTTTGTAAATTCATGAACGGTAAATTTCAGGAAAGTTAATGACAACAGTCATGCAACGAAGAAATTTGTTAGGATCACCATGAAGGTGGAAAATGAGATAGTTGAAAAGTATGAAAATAGCATGCGCATCCAGGACTTGGCTACTACATACCGTGTGTCGAATATGGTGTCCGCAATTGTGCGTTGGTGAGGAGGGGTGTCGACATTAAATTGTTTAATGTTGCGAAGAGGGCGAAATCGATTTCCAAATAAAGATCAGAAACATAGAGCATGCCGAAAAGCTGCTTTTGAAATGAATAGGAGAAAAACATTTATTTGTAATATCATGTACATTTTTTAATTTATGTACAGTACATATTTCATACATTGCGTTTGTTTCACTATTTAACAGTGTTATAAAGATAACAATAAGAATTTTTTATAAGAAAGGATTAATTATTGGAAAAGTTCGCTTGGTACCACCGCATTTTAGTTAGTATATTTCATGGAATAATAATGGAGTTAAATGGTACTAATATAAGGGTGGGGGGAAAGTTCACGTACGTTAAACATAACGAGTTTGGACATAAAGAATTACTACAAGTTTTTTAGAAGCGCTAAGGCAACAAGAATGACAGCAATACTCGTAAATTTGCAAGACTAGTTTCGAAGATTTAAATGCTAACATAATTCTTTAGCCACAGAAGTGCAAATGACGAAAGAGAAACCGTCTGTATTTATGCGATAAAGATGACAGAAAAGTACTCTACTAGCGCCATCTATTGATTAAAATGAAAACAACTATTAAATAATTTCCTAAAAAGCTGAGGGTAAAGACGGATTGGATTTCCGTTTTTAAGGAAATCATTTCATTACTGATTTCGTTTTTCATCAACAGATGGCGGTAGTAACTTGACTGCCTTCCTGTCATCGTTACCGCCTACGCACAGGCTTTTCTTTTGTCATAACTGAAGAAGAAAGTTCTATATTTAAATCTCCGAAACTAGCCCTGAAGATTTATGCTAATTACACTGATTCTTGTTACCTTAGCATCTCCCAAAAATCTTTATTCGGGTTATTACTTTAACTCAGATACTACAGATTTACAGACAGCGTACTAAAAAAGAAAACTAATAACTAACTAGAAGTTCCCTTTTCAGTTTCTGGAACTCCAATGCAGCCGGAGACGGGGTTGTCCCATGCTTCAATCCCGACACATCACCTCGCCGCACCTCTTCAAGCTGTCGAGTAAGCTCTTCAACTTTAGCTACTGCCATCGAAAGCTCCTTTTCCTTTTCATTAAACAAAGCTCGTATGGACTCTAATTCGGTACCTGAAAATTAAAATTATAGTCACGAAAACATTCTGACAAGCCAGTCTAAGATAAAATGAAGTTTAAATAAATGAATTAAACATTTTTTTAAATAGTCCCTGAAGTGTTATTTGAAGAAAGTTATTGAGGAAGGCTGATATTCTAAACTACGTGTTTAAATACAGGTAAACTACGTGTTTAAATACAGGTTTCATAGCATTCATAATATGGTTTCGTTCATGTATGATAAGAAAACAGTGAAAAACCTTCGTAATTCATGATTCAAAGCACGAAAACATGGTTTCATTCCAGCACGCTTATGAACAGGCGTAAACCTTTTAATAAATCACTGTACGCATATACATATTTTGATAACACAATTTTGATTCTAAACTTTTTTGAAATTGAGTCGCGCCCACCGTTTTACACAGTTTACATCTTGCGTTCCAAGTTTAAGTTGGTAGATTGCATAAATTACGTAATTTTGGAAGAAAATTCTTACGAAAATTTTTGGGCATGTGTTAATAATTTGCTTTGTTATTTTTGGGGGTAATTTCTGCTAAATAGTGTTTCAGTCCGAAACTATACCTGAAGGTAAAAAACAAATTTTAAAAGAAAATATCTGCTTATAATACACAATATGATAAAGAATTCTTTTTTCAGAGAACTTGCAGATTAGCTGCTTTGATATATAAATATACATCTCATAATTTTACATTAAGAGCTATTTTCCAAATATTGTCGAAAAAATATTTAAGAGGTTAAAATGAAGTTACACATCTAGGTGTCTCAATACGACGCACTACTTCAAATCGAACACAACTGAACTTGCGAATTATTACCAATGAATTAATTGTAGTATGCAAGCGAGAAGCGACGGAAAAGTTCGGAAAAATAAAAATTTCAGTTTCTTTTATATTTTCACATTTAATGCAAAACATTCATACAGACACACGAAATGCTCACAGATTGGTTTAAATGAATGCGGAAACACGTCTGTTAATTTAAATAAACTTAAGTACAAATGTTGTCAACAGATGGCAGCACTAATGTCAGCAAAGAGGAAACTATAAAACATGGGATTTCTACCATCAACAAACAAAACAAAACCTCTGAGAAGATGATAAAATTTTTATGCATATTTATTCCAAATTAACGTCTTTATGGACATTAATTTCCCACGCTTCAGTATCTCTTAAAATGCCTTTTGAAAGGAAGCCATCTTCAAAATTTTCTTACTAAAATTACTCTACTCATATTTAAATAAAAACTGAAAAGGCACAGGCATTGAATAACAAATTTATATTTACAGCCGATTCGTAACTAAACTGAAATCAATAATGAAACATTCAGCCCTTTCATAGCATTTTTTGAAATTATACATTTTCAAGTATTTCACTCGTAAGAAATAAATTTTGGAATATTTTCAAAATGATTTCAATTACGTATATGCCAACAAAACTTACTTAGTACCCTGGTTATCATAAATTAAGGAAAAATCACAAAAATAGCGATAACTCCCTCAAAAATAAGCCAAACCGTTGCCAAGTATGAGTAGCTGAATAAAATTGCGATATGCAAATTAGTGGCGCTGCTTTCGGAATACGTCATCTGGGAGGAGCATAAAAGTCCATGTTTGAGCACATATTTGACTGTGACAGTGACATCAGAAATCTGAGATAGCCAATTCGTAACAATGACCTCTAAGCATCACTTGCCTGCAGAACTGCGATGGAGAGCCATTGGAAGACTAGAGGCAGGACAAAGTCAAACAGAAGTGGCCAGATGGCTAAATGGGAGTCCTTCTGTGGTTCATAGACTTTGGAGGCAATTTCAAACCACAGATTCGGTATCTAAGGAGGTTCAGCCAAGGACGGCCAACTGCTACGACGAGCGCCGATGACCGATATTTGAAATTATGTGCACGCAGGAATAGAACCGCTACTCCGATTCTTCTTAAGAGATTCTTTCAGTGATCACGACAACATGTCCACTGGACGCCTGATCAGTGGAGGGCGGTTCTCTTTACGGATGAGTCCAGGTTTCGTCTAGAAAGCGATAGTACGCGTTATTTGATATGGAGAGAACCTAGAACCCGTTATCATCCCTCAAACATCCGTGAAAGAGATGCATACGGAAGCGGCAGTGTCTGTGTTTGGGGTGGCATCTCTTTGGAGTGGACGCAACAGACCTCCATGTCTTTCCAAGGGGAACCCGTGAATGCTTCAGATTTATAGAGATGACATCCTTGATGCTTATGTGCGCCCATGTGCCGAGGCCAATAAGGTGATGCTTTCCTGTTACAGGATGATAACTTAAGACAACACAGGGACTCACACATAGGCTCGCATCGTAGATGATTATCTTCAACAGGAAACAATTATGCGCATGGAGTGGCCAGCTCGATTCCCGGACTTGAATCCTATCGAGCAACGTTTGGGATGCTTTAGAGAGACGTCTAACTGCTCTCAATCCGCCCCACTCAGACCCTTGCCACCCTTGCCGCCGCTTGCAACTGCTTTTGCAAGAGCAATGGCTCTCGCTTCCTATGGAACTGATAGACCGCATAATTGAAAGCATCACACATCGCTATATGTGCTGTATTGCTTCTAGAGGCAATCATATTCCATATGGAAGGTACTTTTCCTATAGCAAACTGACAACTTCGATTTGTTCATTTTATACATGTGCTAATTTCTATACTACCATATTTGTCTGGTAATTTCTTTTTATGTTATTTGATACCTTATTATGTGTTGTATATTGTGGGTAAGTTTCATTAAATTCTACATGTAACTTTTTAAGTAATAGTGGTTTTTCCTTAATTTATGATAAACAGTGTAGCTCTACCTTCAAGCAGCAAAATTAAAAAAGGTAAAGCATAAAGAATTTCTATTATTACAAAATTAATGATTGCTAAGACACTATCATTTTTATTACTCAGGCAATGAAAAGAAATAAATGATACGTATTTTACCCATTTGCGGTCTACTATTCAGTCGTATGTCTGTTCTCAAACAGCATGCAAAGAACCGTAACTGAACTTATATTATGTCGACAAGACTCATAATGTTGCATATCATGTATTACTGCTCGTTCAACCGAAAATTAATTAATTCGGACCGGCATGATAAAGGTACTGTATTACTGTTTATACTTGGTGTAATTTTTTTATTCTGGAACAGCAGTACTAAATGTACTTTAAAAAGCATTAGCGAATTTGAACTTTCCTCTTCTGTGCATATATTATATATGTAAAATTTTTTTTGTAATGGTACTGTGGTTGGACGACAAGACGTAAAAGATTTGATTATGAATGCGGCACAAACTTGCATTAAAATTTTCGGTGAAACAGGACTTTTCTCATGATTCACTGCAAACACAGAATCACAAACTCGTGTAGAATTTTTCATAATTAGAACTGGCCGAAGATGTAATGACAGAACACTTTTAGAGGCACTGAAATAAGAACACTGAGACGTAAATGCGTAGAAATACTAATTGCGTAGATACTTGAAGCTTAAGAGTATCCATCCATGTTGAAGAATAAGTAATCGAGCCGGATTAAATTCCTTTTATCTATTTTAATTCACTAGTGGCCACAATTCCCTTGGTACTCTACTCGTCCTATTAAAGAACATTTTCAATTTTGATATTATTCCCCATAGAAGCGAATGTAGCATCACACACATAATTGCAGAAAGACGTCTAGCCAAGAGGAGAGCACAAGCAAAAATTAGGCATTACTTCACAGAAAGAAGGGAGGGAGTCAAGTTTTAGTTTTGGTTTACTATCTGATGATTGGTCAAGAGGCATCTGTATTAAGGGTTATGTAAGATCGAAGGTCATACAACATATATATATATACACACAAACACCCAGCCCCCTACCCGACTTAAAATGTCTGTAGCCTCTCTTTATTTTCGCTATCGTAGGTTGTAGGCATATACATGATACTTATGTATTAACTTCATACAACCGCAAAGGGTTAAACGAGCATAAGGACCCGTTTGGTTTATTTGATTACGGCAAAGCACACTAGGGCTATGTGCTTAAGATGAGAAATGCCTTCGTGGAAGACTTTCGTGACGTATTGTATGTACGTGTGTATCTCGAATAATTCAAAAGATTAGTCGTAGAACGTTGAAATTTTGTATATAACATAAGACATATACTACTTTACAAAGTGTTGAAAATGACAAAAATGTTCATCTTTTGGCAATTTCAAATAAAAAAGAATAACTTACAACAAATAACGTTCAATGCGGTCTCCTGTTTCCTATACTTAAATTTAGGAAAGTTCGTTACTGGGGGGGGGCAACACGTTTGATTCTCTATGACAATAATTGACTGGAATATTTAATTTCAAAATTTGCAGTTTTTTAGATCATTTGCAATTTGCTTTGAGGAATCTGTTAATTAGAATCACTCGAGGAAATTAATTTCAATGAAGTGATAAAAGAATATGAAAAGTCTAAATAGGTGTATAAAGAAATCTTGTGGTGTCCAAATCAGATTTTCTTTTTAACAGGTTTGTGAAAAAAAACCTCTCTGCACAAATTCAACCATAGTGGCGCAATTCTGCCGACCGCGTAATTTCGCTTCCTATTACTGCGGAATTCATATAATTTCAGTATACTTGCAATAATATAATTGTCTTAAAATCTCTCACTATGATGTTCTCACAAGATTTTAAGACAATTTTATTTTTACAAGTATACTGAAATTAGTATATGAATTAGAAATAGTCGAACGATTACCTCCAAGCCTTCAATGTAATTCTGCATCCATTATTTAACGTATTTCCCCTGTTTTTTAATAATTTTAGTGTCCGAAAATCGAGAGGGGAAAATTATGCAACTAATTTAATTTCTGAAGGACACAGTTGGACGAAAAGCAATAACAAATAAAGGTATAAAGAAGAATATGAATATAAAAGAATTTAATTTTCTTCTAAAATAATGCTTGTACAACATTTTAATTGTAAATTTGTTACGTGTCAAATATTTAGTAAGTTTATATTCTACGGTTAAACTGACAGCTGTATTTTTAATTTGACGTGTTTTTACTGGATTTTTTATACAATTACATTTCATATGCCTATGGCAATTTTATTTTTAAAATTATGTACTAAAAATTTATTGTGCGAGACTTTATGAAGTAGAGGTAATCGCATATTTTTTTAAGAATGGGCGGAAGTAATGTATATAATTTTTCGCTGTTCAATAAAAAAAATTTTCAAATTTTCTTTTCATTTTATTGTTTATTTTTTCTTTAAATAGTTTAAATGCTGAAAAGGTCAGATGTTTCAGATTATTATCCTTTGAGAAGTCGGTCTGGAACATAATAATATGAATAATCCATAATGTATTATAAATTTATATGACTGATAAGTACACTTTAAATAAATTAAAATTTTCAAACATGGGAAGGGATCGTCTTTTTCACTCTTAATTTTAAAATGTAATAGGTTTTCTTTAAAAAAAAATACTGTCGACTGCAATAAAGAAGGGAAAGAAACAATTAGATGGATTAATATGCAAAAACATTGGCATGCCATTTCAGAAAACCTCCGATTTAGTGTTAATGTTAGAATGATGCTATATATAAATCTAATATATATATATATATCTGAAGTCGTCCTTTCGAGACATGAAAAACGCAATTCAATTTTGTCAATTTGTCCAGTAGAACCGGACATATAGAACTGTGCCATCCCCCCGCAGTGTACGTATAGATGCTATGAAAAAAAAGTTTAAATTAATTTTAAATCCATTTTACAATCCGTTTTGAAAAAAAAAAAAAAAAAAACCACCACCTTTTATTTAGTTTGTGCACACAGATGTCACCAAAACAATCGTCTAAATGGATTCGGCAGAGGTCAAAATGGAAAATTTCGTTGAAATATGATATCCGAAATTTTACTTCGTACAATAAAGTAATAAAAGTTAAAAATGATTAATCTATTACAGACATGTATGTAAACCGTTGAGAAAGGCTGAAAGTTAGGCCTTTTACGTATAAGTATTAACCGAACTGTTCACACAACGGAAACATTCCCGAAGAGAATTCGGAATGCAATTATATGGACACAAATAGCATACGTGAATAAAACTTAACTGCTCTATAAATTACATTACGTAACTTTACGTAAATTACATTACGTAAAGTCAAATACAACTTCCATAGGCATCAGAAACTCACAGATCAACGCGACTTGTTTTAGTATGATATTCAGTCTACGTAAATTGGATTGGGATCGCCCTCACGGGTAACCACTCTAACAAGGTCTATTCCCACGTTTCCCACGATGATCAGGATCTATTCCCACGATTTCATTTCGAGCGTCTTATTTGACAAATTAATTCTACTCTACACAACAATCTCACCATTCCACTTTTTACATTTGTAGTGAAGAAGAGTAAGACAAGAATACCAGGCAATTAAGTCTTTGTTTTGTAAACCAGACATTACGTAGATTGGATAAAACATCGTGTTTCACACGCACTTAAGCACTACACAACTTTTTCAAATTTGATGTGCAGCATTTTGATGGATGGAAATGGATAGATTCTTAAACAAACCACTTTTTTCATTATTTCTTTTGGAGGGACATTTAAATGTCAACAATGATTTATTTGCGAGTAAACTATACTGAAATGGAAATGCAATTTAAATAATAGTACATGTTGTTGCTTATGCTCACTTGTTTGACGTACTCAGCCCAAGCCCACGGAACTACTCGTTACAAGGAGCGCTAGATTACGTCTGCCGTTGGCAACAGCCTTGAGCACCTTTCAGGTGACAGTGCGATTTAGCTCAGTACCGCCCCAATTTTTGATGAAGAGCACTCCGGGGGGTAGAAGGGTCCGAGGGTGTCCCACCCCTCTCCCCTTCCACCAAACCACACGAAAGGACTTTCGGCTCGTCGCATATTTAGAGTGCCGCCATGCCGTACCGTCACTATACATTTACACATCCATGCCTTCTCCGGGATTCGAACCCGGACCCTTCGCCACGGCAATCAGCAACGCTAACCACTATACCGGTTGGGCGGCATAATAGCACATAATAAAGCAGATGTTTAGCATTCATTTAAAAGCTTAATCTGAGCCTGTGAGAAAAAGTCAGGGGGTAGTTTTTCTCACCCTTAATAATATAAAAGACTATGAACCTTTTCTACATAACAGTTTAGGGTCACCACGGCATACTAATTGTTTTTGTCTGCGTAACGACAATACCACAATTTCTCTTAAGGTTATATATAAAAAAGTTTTAGCTAAATTAAAATTTTACTCACCAGAATATGTGCTAGCTCAGTCACTATTAATCTACTGTAAATTAAATTTTGTTGCATGACTAAAAAGGTTCTTTTGTTATGGTAGTACTTTCGCAAATACAAAATCCGTTACAGAACTATTATATTTTAGACGGTGTAATGGTTAAGTGACACTGACTGTCATACTGATGGACCAGGAATCGAATACCGGAGACTATATGGATGCTTGTAAATGCACAGTGCTTGAGGCACTTGAATGTACAACCGAAAGTCCTCTCCAGTGATTTTCTGGTAGGGTAAGAGAGGTGGCTAACCCTCGGACTCATCAACCAGGTCAACTCGGATCCTCGAACCTCTTTCAAAACTGGGCGAAGTCATGCTGTCACCTACAGAGTGCTCAAGGTTCATGCCAAAAACAAACGCAATCTTGCACCCTTTGCCACGATAAAATTCGTGAGCTTTCTCTGATTAGGTCAGACAAACGAGATTAACCACAACAACATATTTCGCCCCCTGAAGTTTTACATTTTTAAAGAATTAAAAGTTTTTCTGGTTCCATAGGAAATATAATTGTGAGATCCGATCAATCTATAAATAAAATATCTTCTGATCTCGAATTAAGAAAAATAACAAAATATACACCGCCTTTACCCACAGATCGAATAAATTTCATCAAGAGTGATTCTTAAAAGTACGTCATTCGATACATGTGTAAATATATATATTAGAAAATTATTATGAAAATTATCTTCAAAGAATAAGATGGAAGAATATGTAGAAAAATGTGTAGCAAATACCTAAATTCGAATTATTAGACTTATGTTGTTCCACTTGGCCCCTCAAAGCGCGTAACCGTCGTAGCTTAAGTTCTTGTAGTTCCACTCTCTCCCGCAAGTGGCGCAATCTGTCACCCTCCTGAGCATGCGTCGTCTGTCCCTGATGATGGCGGGCTTCTTGTTGCTTCAGGAACTTTAAACGTTGTTCCTTGGCGACCAATAGTTGCTGATGGGCTTCAATTTGGTGCTGTTGCCGCGCCGCCATTTGGCGCAGGTCCGCCAAACTCAGCTCGTTGCTTTCCGGGAGCTGTAAATAAAATAATGTATAAAGATTTTTTTCCAGAAAATATAATAGATATTAAAAATAATTTTGCTTAATTAAATGAATGCCAGTATAATAATGCCTGATATCAATTCACATACATCTTATGCTTCTGATAACAGCAAACAGCCTGAAATACAAAATGGCATCTTTAAAGTAATTCGCATACTTCATTTGAGTTTTTTAAATGATGCATTTAATATAAATACAAGCTTAGTGCTGCGTTCTGCAGGACTTGATAATGTAAGGTGAGAAATATGAAAAAAAGTATCGGAACTAAAAGGAAAGTGTATGGCATGGTTCCTCTATTACAAGGTATGTTCTAGCGTGACGTCACTGATTCCTAGTCTGCTCAAAACAACTAATTCCTTGGTCTTCGTTTCTCCCACTTGTGTAAGTAAATGACGTCAGCGTTGGGAAGAGCCTAAACCTTGTTTGTCTACTGACCTTGGTACTATAAAACGGACTAGAACTAAGGCAAGACTGCAAGATTATATTACAAGGTTGGCTCTTGTGTGACGTCATTGACTCTTATTCTACTCAAAAGCAACTACTTCCTTTGTCTTCACTTTATCCAATTACGCAAGTAAGTGACGTCAACTTTGGGAAATGCCTAACCTTGTTTGTCTACTGACATTCGTATATGGTAGAGTATATATTCGTATGGCATATATTCGTATGGCATACACTACCATATACGTATATCGTATATTGTTGAGACTAAGTGAAAAGTTCTGATGACTGCTTTTCTTAGAGTACAAATGAGCTGCTGATTTCTGCAAGAGTGGCACTGACTAATGAAAAAGTCACAGTGCATGCAGTGCCTTTATCTGGTACAATATGCACACAATAATAAATTACATCTACGGGTCTACAATTAAAGGTACTTACGTATTATCTCGTCGACCGTGAAACTGTCACCAAGCAGCATGACACAGCTCGAATTATGGATAAGCGTCATGTAACCACACACTCATAACATTTGTGCTTTCGTTTGATGTAAACCACATTGATTCTCGATAAGTCATGTTTGTTTTAGTGAATAAGAATATCAGCTAACGGTTATTGCCGCATTTTTTTCTTGAATTGCGAAAACAAAATATTAAGATTTGGGATCTGCCTTCTACAGAACAGCAAGTAGTGGATTACCTTCAAAATTACAGGATCTAACCATACAAAGTGAATTAATGGACACGAAATCGTCAACTGCATATGGCCGACAAAAGAGTAACAAATCGGAACAATTACTTGCAGAAAATTTGGACTTATAGCATTTAAAAAAAAGTTTTCCGGAAAATCGGAGGCCTAACGAAGTAGTAGAAATCGACGAAAGCCTTTTTACGAAGCGTAGAAATCGACGTGGGTCGAATACTGATTGCTTAGTAAATAAAGACGTATAAGTTATTTCAGTATTTCATCGGAACGACCGGCGCAGCTTTGGTGGGATCTCGGCCAACTTTCATGGTGGACAGGATAATACTTGAGTACCCAATTAAATTCTGAATAAATGCTGTAGGTCTCATAGTACAATAAGCTTGAAGTTTTGCAATATGCTGCATAGTAATGAATACCTATTTTAGGTACTCTTTACTATTAAGTACATTCTGGGCATACAAGGGCAGGATGTTTATACAAGTACAGATGAAATTAATACAAATATTTATGCATTGCAGTTATGAAACACGAATTATTTTCATTACTAGATTATACAAAAATGCACGCGGAGGCGGTTAAAATGTACAAACATTGATACAAGTTATATATTCAGATTTACAGATTCATATGCATTTAAATGATCATATGCCATTCATATGCATCTCTGGCTACATATATAAGAATTTGGTTTTTCTCAAAAAAGAGGGACTCTAATCAGTTTCCCTCGAAATTCACATCAATCCGACATTAAACTTCGCCCGAGTTTAAATATTTGATATTACTCAAGTTTTCACTTAAACAAAATAAAATTTGAAAGGCATCAGATTTTTAACGATCTCCCAAAAGGGATCTTTTGAAGTTGAACAGTTAATAAGCAGAGATCATCGACAGAGATGGCCCAAGCGGAATAGCGAGAAAGAGTTTTTAGGATATGTGATGAATATACAGTTAGACTAACATGAGAACGTTATTTATCTTCAGAACAGTTAAAAAAATGAAAAAAACATGGCATATTAGTCTATAAAACTTTTTAATCTTTTAAATTATGTTTATTCTTAATGTTATCATATAATGTGTTTAATTGTTATTATTGATGTTTATCATGAATTAAATGCATTTTTATTTAAATAAATCAAACTCAAAAAAAATATATATATATATATATATATATATTAAGAACTGCATCGACGGCTTTTAAGTAGCTTAGTTTGTTTATCAGTAATAACATTGGTTGAATATTATATTATTTATCAGTACAAGACATATTCAATATGAAAGAATAATATCTTACGTTTAACCGAATGGCAACAGACTCGAATGAAAAGTGAAACAATACAAAAATCGCATTTCGAGACTAGCAGCTCCTTTGCGCTAAAAGACGTTAAAAGCGATACGGTATAGAGTACCAACATGTAAACAGTGCAATAGTTTTCCTTCAGTAATTTCTATAGCATTATCTTTGCAAACATCAGACATCGGCCTCTATAACGAGCACTTTATAATTAATTACCATATAATTAATTACCAAGTAACCATCTATTCGATCTTTCTTCACGGTTATTTTCCCAGTAGTTGATGCGCACATTAATTTCTCAGTTTAGCAAACACATTCAATCTAACTGCAGAATTTCCGACAGCAAATGTAAATGAAGTAGCTTGCAGTGAAACATTTTCAATAAACTGAATATTAAATCTCTACTAAATAGGATGATGGAGCGGGCTTTAACGATTTCCTCATTTCCGAGTTTCGGTAATTCAAAAATTTATTAATTTGCATTCACAGCTTACTATAGGAGCTAGTTAATAACGAATTCCACATTCGCGTTCTTCTCAACAATCATTCGCAGATTTTGTACGAAACTCACCGAATAAACGAAACTAACCGAATGAATCCGAACAGTTAGCAGATGAAGTAGCATTTATTCTGAAACTAGCGGATGTACTCGATATCAGTTAAGTTAGATTGCGAGTAATGCATCTAACAACACAGAGAACGTTACCGCTGAAATCCTTCTCTAATAACGGTGCAAAAAAATACGATTCATAGACATACATTTTTCAGCCTGATGCGATATGGAACCCACATAAAAAATGTCGATAGAAAAATAAGCTAATTCTCTCTCATCATATCAGCAACAATGGCACGCAGTTTTTAATAATTTTCGTCTTTCTAATCAAATGGCCGTAAAAGCTCAAGTTCCATCCAATATTTCACCTATATTCAATTTTAGTCGATTAAATGCGGCAAAAATTGGATCATAATTGATCAGAAATCAATAACGCGAACAAACAAACACATAAACATTCTTCTTTATAAACATATGTAACCGTGAAAGACCGAAATTGGAGAATGTCGACTTTCAACGGAGAATATCAACATTCACCAAATACGTCGGTGAAAAACCGAATATTTCACTACATTCTTGTACATTCGGACCCTCACCGGTTGTATGTCGACAATCACAGATGTGCTCTGGTGAAAGTCGAAAAGAGAGTGTTCAAAAAGTGCCCTAATAGTTTAAGTTGTTGCAATAAATAAGATTTGAATCACATAATTTAGTAAGTTTTTTATTATTGTTATTTTATTTTTCATGAGAACGTACTGTATAATTAAGTAAGTTTTTAACTTCTATTATTTTCCTTTCTCATTTTGAATGTACAGTGTGTTTCAAGTCCTTATATTCTTAAGTTCTTATTTAAGTCTCAAGTGCGTTTTTTCGAAATTACGGAGAAGAAAATATAATATTCTTATGTGTTCAACATTCACCATTAGTAGATGGTGAATGTCGACATTTACCGGTGTAAGTCAGAAATAAGAGTATTTGGAAAACATTTCGGACATACACCAAGAGACTATGTGAATGTTGACATTCACCGGTGAAAGTCGACATTCTGCAGATTTCGATGTTTTACTGTAACATATATATATATACTTTATACAGATTTTGTAAAACTTACAAATTTTGATTAACAAACTCTACGATTTGAAAGGAGCAGTAGTAACACTTTTTGAAATAATCATTTTTATAATAAATTACGATTTCAGTAAAATAATATGAGCTAATATAAATGAACGAATTTAATTAAAACTCACGTTCACTTTTCATTAGGTTAACAACAAATAACAGCAACATATATTTATTTGCTAAAAATATATATATCTTACAAAAAAAAGTTAGCAAAGATGAAAAGCGTGAACGGTTCAAAATAAACATTGCTTTCCAGAAATTCATTGCTATATATTTCCTTTAAACTTCTTTCGCTTCCGTAGTCATGGTAACTAAAGTAATATAGCACAGAACGACTCGTTTTGCGAGCAAATAACAAATAAATATAAAACTCTAGTGGGCTCGACTTAAAATGTTTCCTGGATAGTATTCCTACAAAGGGTTTTCACTTAAATACGTAAGTAAATGTCATAGTTTCTTAAACAGTGAAAGGAAAAAGGAAGATAAAGAATGAATACTGAGTACCATTTTAAATTCATTTATTATAAATAACTTATTCAGCATTAAGAGTACTGTTTTCAAATAAAATTATCACACTATGATTTTTTGTACTATATATTAATAATATTTTAAATAATGCACATAACATTTCATTTTTATTTATATAGTAGAGGAAGTACCTGATGCCGGTTAAATTAGATTGAGAGTAATGCATCTAAAAACAGAGAGAACGATCCCGCTGCAATTCTCTAATAACGATGCAAAAAGTACGATTCATACTCATACATTTTTCAGTCTGATGCGATATGGAAACCACAAAAAACATTTCGATAGAAAAATAAGCTAATTCTCTTTCATTATATCAAAAGCAATTGCGCGCAG